TATATATATATATATATATATATATATATATATATATATATATATTTATATGGTATTATATATATAATTCTTATTTTTATATAGTATTATATATACTATGTAATTATGGTATTATTATGTATAGTATCTATTATATATAATATAATAGTATTATAATATATTACATGTATAGTATCATATATTATATTATATTATAATAGTATTATATATATAATATAATAAAATATAGTTTAGATATAGTGTAATATAATATAGAATAATATAGTATAATTCTTATATATACTCATATATATACTTATATATAATCATATATATACTTATATATACTGATATAAAAGATATACTTATAAAAAATATATATACTTATATAATATATATATACTTATACAAAGTATATACTTATATATATAATTCTTATATACACTCATATTTGGTAATACATATATATATATGATTATATATATAAAATATAATATTGGGTATATATTGCTGCTCCTGTATTGGTGCCAAAGTAGAATGCAATGTGGAGATTGCTCACTCAGAGTGATGGAGTTTTGTTTCCTTGGCCTGTCAGGGCCAAGCGCATCTCCAGACTGTGGGTCAGCAGACAGCCACAAGATTCTGCTCAGAGAAGTTGAGTGCTTGTGCAGATTCAGTTTACATGTAGTGTAGTATAATATAGAATAATGTAGTATAATAAAGTAATTAATTAGCTTTCTGATACCGATGGAGCCCTCCTCATCATTCTTCCCTGCCATGGAGGTTGCTTTGAATCCTCTACAGAGGTGCTGCACGCAGGCTCAGGCAGCAGAGTAAAAGAACATTCCTGGAGGAATGAGGCCACCAGAATCACCTGGATTATTACCCTGTGCTGGGCAGGATGCTGCTCACTCCTGCCGCTGTTTCTGGGTGATTTTTCACTCCTGCCGCTGTTTCTGGGTGATTTCCCGTTGCAGGCTGCGGGTCCCGCCGAGCGCGCAGAGCCGCAGCCCCGATGTGG